GGGACATTGCTGATTCTAAACTGCCTACATTTTAGTAACCTGACCTTGTTCTCAAGATCCCTATCGGGCTAACCGGTGATTGAACTTGATCCTAGCTAATTGGGGATCATTTTGCACATCACGCCTAGCTGCAAGAAACATTACACAGCCAATCCAATGTTGTCAAGTGAAGAGGACTTATAAAGGCGTACTAAAAGCAAATAAATCTTTATCTTTGTGTTAGGAAGCGCCCCATATATTGTAAAATTTCTCCATCTTTGCATCTTCCTGAAATGGGAGACTAAAACAAGGAGGAAAAACTTGCAAGGTGCCATTTTCCCTCCCTCCAGGGTTATTCTGCTATTCTAGCTCAGTGCTGTGACCTGCCAGTGGCCATCAGAGCTGGCTGCAGACTCAGACAGTGAGGAGGTTGGGGAGGAACATGGTCCAGTCCTGGAGTCTGGGAAAGGCTCTGACGAGGGCTCTGCATCGGAGGCAGAGATGGGGCCAGGGCCGTCTGACAGTTGTCAGCTGCCTTCAGAGGTCAGCGGGGCAGAAGAACAGCTGGAGCCTGTTCCCGATGTGTGCATGCACAGAGCTGCTGGGAGAAGGATACGGTTAAGGAACAAGGGCCGACTCGGGAATAAAGGCTCAGGTGGATGGTGAATGGCCCCTCCCATAGGGAAGGTAAGGCCCAAATCCTGATAAGCTGCCAACTGATCAAACAGTCTCAAACATTCCCATCAATTTCTCCACTGTAAAATACCAACTGTAATTCAGTAAAAGTCGAATGTTAAGCACCAATAAATATTGAAACAGCTAATTTCGATTAATGGGTTGGGCTACATCAATTTTTAATTTACTAAAAATGTATCTGAGATTGCTTGGCTGTTGGTGGGGGGAAGCCCTCCTGGAGATGTTGCAAATTTGTCAGTTTCAGCAAAGCTGGCAAAATTTAAATTATTACCTTAGAGGTTTGGTTTTTGATAACTTTTGGAAAAGGAAAAGCTACATTAATCGTTATTAAAGTTAAGTCTATGCCTTACCAAAGAGAGGATTGCATTCAGATTGGAGAAATTGCCATTTCTAAGACACAACTTACTACAACACTTAGGTCGGGGCCCAAAAATGAATTAGAATAGCAGCAGCACTTCGATTTATATACCGCTTCATAGTGCTTTACAGCCCTCTCTAAATGGTTTAGTCAGCCTACGGCTCCCAACGATCCGGGTCCTCATTTTACCGACCTGGGACGGATGAAAGGCCGAGTCAACCTTGAGCTTGGTGAGATTCGAACTGCCGAAGCGGGTGGCAATCGGAAATCAGCAGAATTAGCCCGCAGTACTGCATTTTAACCACTGCGCCACCATGGCTCAGTGGTGAAACTGTATTTTTATTTATAAGAATAAGATTAGTTAAGGCAGCAGCCTCCAACCTTTTGGGCACCTTTTGGGCACCTGGGACTGGTTCTGGGCAGAGAGGATTTTTAACAGGCCGGAAAGGATGCGGTTTCGCATGCTGCCTGCATTCCATGGATGGGGCCTTGTTTGTTTGCATGGCCCATTTTCTGGCATGCTGCGGCCCAGTGCTGGTCCACAGACTGGAGGTTGGGGACACCTGAATTAAAGGATATTAAGCATATTCTAGGCCAGGGGTGTCCAACCTTGGCAACTTTAAGACTTGCGGACTTCAACTCCCAGAATTCCTCAGCCAGCAAGTCTTAAAGTTGCCAAGGTTGGACACCCCTGTTCTAGGCAATCACCCGGTGGTGGTATGCTACTGGTTTGGACCGGTTCAGTTGAACTGGTAGTAAAAAAATAAAAGGCTGAGAGGATCAGCTAAGAGGAGAAAGAAGAGAAAAGCATAGGATCGGCCCTCCCACTCGCCCTGTCACTTTTCTTTATCCTCTCAGTTGATTGGCACTGCAGGCCTCAGCTGGTGTGGAGAAAGCTTCGCACACACATTAGGTGCGCGCGCAATCACCAAACCGGTAGTGGAACATGTAGGAACCCACTGCTGGAATCTCCTAGATCTCTATGGATTAGAATAGCAAAAATAGGCATATGAATAAAACAAGTAGGTTTTTTTTAATTCAGCGGTCATCAACCTTTTTGACTTGGTAGCCCTATGGAGGGGAGGAGAGGCAATGGTTCTGTGTGAGTGGCAAGTACATTCGCAAGCATGCATAGCTCCATTTGCACAAGCGCCCGCCGCTTGTTCAAATGGAGCTTTGAGTGCAAGTGCCTGCTGCTCACACAAGGGGAGCTCTCTCTCCCATCACTTAAGCGGCCCGGTTATGAATGGGCCAAAGCCCAGGGGATTGGGAACCCGTTTTAGTTAAGATACCCTCCAGTATTCAACTCTTATTAGGGGAGAAGCCATAATATTTATTCCTTTATTTAAGTGATTTATATGGCTACCAATCTCACAACGATGACTTGGGCAATGTACAAAGCTCAGTGGTTAAGGGACCAGGCTAGAAAGCGGGAGATGCTGAGTTCAAGTCCTGCCTTCAGCTTGAAAGCCAATTGGGCGACTCTGAGCCAATCACAGGAGGCGGTGGAGTTCTAGTCCTGGCCTTAGGCATGAACGACAGCTAGGTGGGCCAGTCTCTCGCTCTCAGCCCAACCCACCTCACAGGGTTGCTGTTGTGGGGAAAATTGGAGGAAGAAGGAGCATTTGTATAGGTTCACTCCCTTGAGTTGTTTATCAAGAAATAATAAAAGCAGGATATAAATGGGGAAAAAAATTAACAACAAAAGAGAAATTAAGAGTTGGCAAAACCACAATAGCAGCATTGGGCAAGCTGTGCCTTTTGTGTTGGCTGTGAATTGCATCCGTGGGAGGGGCAGAATTTGTGTTGTTTGCAGGGCCTTTTTAGTTTTGATTATCAAAGCAGAACCATCGGCAGAGATTATTGATGTTTCTTTCCCCAGTTTTCAATACCACATCATCTTCTTCCAGTCCAGCTTCTCTTTAATAAATAGTCAGCACACGAGACTGAATAAATAAGGGGAGAGAGAATCAGTCCGTTCGTTTCAACACGTTCTGTCACATTAAGTGGAGATATCCGGGTTTGGGGTGAAAAAAAACACGCAACTACAGGTAGTTCCTTGATTTACAACCATTCGTGGAGTGACCATTCAAAGGGACATCAGCACTGAAAAAGGGACTTATGACCGGTTTCACACTTACAAACATTGCAGCATCCCTATGGCCAGCTGGCTTTGGGCAAGCAAAGCCAATGGGAAGGGAAAAGTCAGATTTGCTCTACAATTGTATGATATACTTAACAGCTGCAGTGATTTGCTTAACAACGCTGACAAAAAGGTTGTAAAATGAGGTACTGCCTCGCTTAGCAACAGAAATTTTGGGCTCTATTATGGTTGTAAGTCAAGGACTACGTGTATCAGGCATGTGGCCTTGGGTTGAAATTTCGGCTTTTTATAAAGACAATGCAATGCGTTTAACAAGTCCTGGAATGTATGATGAAGTAGTCCAAATTTATAGAGCGCAGGTTACTTTCAGACATCAAAGACATGCCTCAAGATAATAAAGAACTGACAGGATATGTTGGTTCTTCTTGATCATCCAGCATGAAAATTTTGATATTAAAACCACCAGCTTAAGATCGGTTTCCAGTTTCATTTTGCAAGCTCAGATAGGATTGGCTTTAAATGATCCAGAGTGACCTTATTCTTCTGAAAACTAATACATTTCACCTCCATGGATCTATGTGGAAGATGCTGAAGTGTCATAAGAAAAATCTGGCTAAAAACAGATCCCTTGGTCAATTCTTTTTTTTTTTAAATCCCAGTTTATGCTACAAAATTTGTAGAATACACTATTGAAAGTAAGTTGCTGCTTTCAGAGGAGGAGGAGGAGGAGGAGGAAAAGGAAAACTTGGCCCCTTCTTCTATACTTTCAATATTTTTTCAATACATTATTCAATACACTATTGAAAGTAAGTTGCAGTTTTCAGGAGGAGGAGGAGGAAGAGGAGTAGGAGGAGGAGGAGGAGGAGTAGGAGGAAAACTTGGCCCCTTCTTCTATACCTTCAATATTTTTTCAATACAGTATTGAAAGTAAGTTGCAGTTTTCAGGAGGAGGAGGAGGAGGAGGAGGAGGAGGAGGAGGAGGAGGAGGAGGAAAACTTGGCCCCTTCTTCTGTACCTTCAATATTTTTTCAATACATTATTCAATACACTATTGAAAGTAAGTTGCAGTTTTCAGGAGGAGGAGGAGGAGGAGGAGGAGGAGGAGGAGGAGGAGGAGGAGGAGGAGGAGGAGGAGGAAAACTTGGCCCCTTCTTCTGTACCTTCAATATTTTTTCAATACACTATTGAAAGTAAGTTGCAGTTTTCAGGAGGAGGAGGAGGAGGAGGAGGAGGAGGAGGAGGAGGAGGAGGAGGAAAACTTGGCCCCTTCTTCTGTACCTTCAATATTTTTTCAATACACTATTGAAAGTAAGTTGCAGTTTTCAGCACCAGCAGCAGTAGCAGCAGGAGGAGGAGGAGAACTTGGCCCCTTCTTCTATACTTTCAATAGTTTTTTTGAGGGAAATGAAAATGAATAACTGAGGCACCTTTTGAAAATCCAGCCTCGGGAACAAATTTAAAAAGCGAATAAAACACACCTCCCAGTAATTTTGGGAATCAGCTGTATATCTGAGCAACAGGAAGTATTCAATTGTTGAAAGCCCTTTGTAAACGGTCCAGTTCTTATTTAGAAGCCCCCGCCCCCCCATTGCATTCTGCATTTCTTGCAAAACAACATCCACCAGGGAGCTGCGACATCGGTGATATAAAATCTCCAAGTTCTTCGGGTTCACGTTCAGCTTATGAATGCAGTCCATGCACTTGTTTGTTAAAAGGTTGTTTTGTTCCCGCAAACTTCTCCTGCCCGCCCCACCCCCAGCCCCCCCACAATTTTTGATTTGTTCACTATGCCGATGGCGAATGAAGCAACCACCGGCAAACCGTAAAACACAAATGTTTTTGCGCTCCTCGACGAGCAAAACCTCAAGAGCCCTCCTCGCAATGCTCCACCTGCATTCGTAAGACCCCTTTCTTGTAGAGAAACCACAGCTGTAAGAATTCCTCCGGCATGGCATGGAAGCTAGAATCCGGCAAGATGTTGTCGTAGTAATGATGGCTAATGTACCGCCCACGGAGATCCATTGAAAAAGGCCAGAAGCCGTAAATCGTCACTTCTTCACAAAGACCAAGAGCTGCGCTGACCAAGAAGAGGCCGGTCGAAAGCCGTTTAGCGTGAATCCCTTTGCTTTTCCAAAACTTGCCGGTGTCCCGTAGGAAGTTAGGGTTGGCGAAGATCACCTTCTGCTTGGCTTCGATGTCAGTGAGGGTGTAGTACACTCGGAAAGAAAGCTCGGTCCCGCCTTTCATGGAGAAAGCCGGCATGTAGATGTAGCTCTGGTTGTAGACTTTGACGATGTCCACAAAGGCTTTTCGGGACCAAAGAAGATCCTGGAACCTGGGGAAGAAAAGAAAAAAGAAGAGAGCAGAGAAGAGGGGAGGAGGAGAAAGGGAAGATGGGGGGGAGGGAGGAAGGAGAGAGGTGGGGAGGGGAAGAGAAAGGAAAGATGGATGAATGGATAGGAGGAGGGCGGAGGGAAGGGGGGAGGGGAGGGGAAAGTAAAGATGGGTGGATGAGAGGGAGGGAGGAGAGAGGTGGACAGGGGAGGGGAAAGGAAAGATGGATGGATGAGAGGGAGGGAGGTGCAGAGGGGAAAGGAAAGATGGATGGATGGGGGGGAGGGAGGAGGGAAGTGGGGAGGGGAGGAGAAGAAGAGAAAGGAAAAATGGAAGGAAGGAGAGGAGAGGAGAGAGGAAAGAAGAAGACAAGTAAGTTAGATGGTAAGTTTACACTTTACCAACTACACGAAAACGTACTATGAAAAGGCCAACAAAATATTGACAAGAGTAAATTGTAAAGTTAGTGAAGATTTAGGGTCTCGGGCAACTAGGATCAAAGAAATAAGTTAAGTGTTTCTCAACCATGGCCACTTTAAGATACCTTAAAGAATTCCAAGAATTCTGGGAGTTGAAGTCCACACATTTTCGAGTGGCCACGGTTGATAAATAAACACCGCAATAAGCAAACAGGTTAATGTAAATCAATGCTGGCGGTTAACTCTTTGATTATTAGGTTGTCATAAGCATTCCATAAAATGGCAACTAACAGGTAGTCCTCAACTTATGACCACAACTGAGCCCCAAATTTCCATTGCTAAGCAAGACAGTTGTTAAGTGAATTTTGTCCCAATTTATGACTTAACACAGTTGTTAAATGCGTTTGTTCAGTGAATCTGGCTCCCCCATTGAATACATCCCAGTTGCCAAAGATCTGAATTTTGATCACATGACTGGGTGGGTGTTGCAATGGTCGTGAGTGTGAAAAATGGTCATAAGTCATGTTTTTCAGGGCTGTTTTAACTTTGAATGATGACAATGTCTCCTGGTGATTGCCCCAAAGTCACCCAGCTGGTTTTCATGGCAAAGGCGGGACTAGAACTCATTGCCTCCTGGTGATGGATCTCATCCTGGACGCCCTTTTTTTTTTTTTTTGAACTATTACCATCTGGCAGATGGTACAGAATAATAAAAACAAGCACAAATAGGTTGAAAAACAGCTTCTATCCGAGGGCAGTAGCTCTTTTGAATTCTGCTGTATAGTGCAGTGTTGGTGTGGTGTCGGGGGTTTTTGGTTCAATGTGTGGAGTGTGAAGAATGTGTGTTTGTGTTTATTTTCATGGTCATGATGTGACCTGAAGGTGGTGTTTGATTTTATTGTATGAGATGCAATGACAATAAAGTAAACTAAACTAAACAGGTTTCTCCACTTCTCACTGAGGGAAATATAATATTCTGCCTTTTTAATATTCCTCAAAATACTATATTCTCCTAGGAGGGTGGGGGTGCTAACTTTCTACAGAAGGAAACACCCAAACTCAAAAAGCACCAAGGACTCCATAATTCCTTCTTTGATTCTTCCATGGACCTCGTCACATGGAACATGTCTGAATAGATTTAGTCACTCGGAATGAAGGACAATATGGAACAGTAAATGAACTAGAGTTTGTGGGCTTGTGGCAATTATAATTCAAAAACGTATCAGGATGATATCAGGCCAGAGGAAACTGCTTTACAGCCAGATCTGTCTATTCAACTGAGATTTAAAAACTGGGGAAAAAAAGGTGTACTTGACGGTAGTACAACTTACATGAAATAAAAATTAATGACCCATATAATCAGTGCAGGATCTGTAGCATGTAGCAGATTAGAAAGCAATGGACCCAATTTTTCCTCTATGTAAATTCTTAAACCTTAGATGCTTGTTATATGTGGATCTTACTGAAAGATCGTTGTGATTTACTTTAAGTTTCTAAGCCATTGTTTGCATCCAGCATTAACAATTATTTTCTTGTGTTTTGAACTGGTGATTATGTCAAATTTGTTATTTTTTAATTTAACGTCAAAAACATTTACACTTTCCTTATTATTTTTTTGTTTTTTGCATTATGTATAAAGTAAATATCAATATCTATATTTATCTATTTATCTCTATCTCTATCCCTCTCTATCTACCTCTCTATCTATTATGACATTGCTTTTTAAAAAATCCTTACTTGTTGCATAAAAAATATTCTGTACTGAAGAGACAGAGAAAAAAAACCTATATTTAACTATTTAGAAAAAAACAGAGACAAAAACGAAGAGAAAAAACTCTTAAGAAATAGGAAAAAGTGAAAAATATCACTAGAAACTAAAACAGAAACTTTAACAAAAAAAGTGAAAAATGAAATTATATCCCTTCCTATCTGTCTGTGGTCTATTTAAAGATAGCAGATGTCAGGCTATTAAATGTATATAACTTCCTCCTATTTTTGACAATACTGTCATTTTATTTTTAAATGATGAATTAAACCTAGATAGTGTACAGAAATATGCTGTCTGTTCTTGCTTCTCTGAGAATTAATAGCTGTCAAATTTAATTACAGCAACATTTATAATTTGGGAAGCATTTATTTCAAAGGGTGAAAGTCACAGATTCAGGCTAGCTGGGGTACCACATTAAGATAACTTGTCTCTCTGTGGGCGCCTCTGAAGTTATTTTTGACTCCTGGCAACTATCCAGAGAAGATCCTGAAGTTTTCCAAGCCACATTTTTGAAAATGGTTGGCCACTGCCTTCTTCCTAGGGCTAAGAGGGAATGGCTGGATCAATGGAGTATTCTTTGGACACGGCATGCTATGAAAATATAACAGGTTTTTAAAACTAGCTTTAGGGCTTATCCCAAAGGTGTTTTTTCAAGAGGCAATTGGATTTTCTGGTTTTTCTTTGAAGACATTTCGCTTCTCATCCAAGAAGCTTCTTCGGCTCTGACTGGATGGTGGGGGGATGGAAGGATTTATAACTCCTTACAGACAGCTGGTCATTTGCATCCTTTTTAGGGAGTCATTGAGGCTGCTTGGAGGTTTTATCTGTGTCCTCAGAGTCACCTGATTGGTGCAAACTCCATAGACTTTAGGGCTCATGTTGTAAGAATGCAACCAAGGAGAGGCAGAAGAGTGAAGAATTGCTAGAATTCCCGAGAATTGCTATAGAAATACAGGTAGTCCTCAACATATGACTACAATTGAACCCAAAATTTCCATTTCCAAGCAATAAAATTATTAAATGGATTTGTCCCATTTTACGCCCTTTCTTGCCACGGTTGTTAACCGTGGCAATTATTAAGTTAGCAGCACAGTTGTTAAGAGGGTCTAGTTTACCTGTTGACTTCGCTTGTCAGAAGGTACAAAAGGTGATCACATGAGACCAGGACATTGCAACCGTCATAAATTTGAGTCAGTTGCCAAGCGTCTGAATTTTGATCATGTGGCCGGCCATGGGGATGCCACAACAGTCATAAGTGTGAAAAATGGTCATCGATCACTTTTTTCAATGATGTTGTAACTTTGAAAGGTCAATGATTTGGATGAGGTGGGTAGACGGGCAACTCATCCAATTTGCAGATGACACCAAGCTGGCAGGAATAGCCAACACTCCCGAAGATAGGCTTAAGATACAGAAGGTTCTTGACAGACTTGAGCACCGGGCGCTATCTACAGTGAAATTCAGTGGTGAAAAAAGTAAGGTTCTACATTTAGGGGAAGAAAAACCAAATGCACAGGCACAGAATAGGTGGTACTTCTCTCAATTGTAGTAACTGTGAGAGGGAACTCGGAGTCCTAGTGGACAACCATTTAGATATGAGCCAGCCGTGTGCAGCAGCTGCCAAAAAAGCCAACACAGTTCTAGGCTGCATAAACAGAGGGAGAGAATCAAGATCACGTGAAGTGTTAATATCACTTTATAAGGCCTTGGTAAGGCCACACTTGGAATCCTGCATCCAGTTTTGGTCACCACAATACAAAAAAGATGTGTCGACTCTAGAAAGAGTGCAGAGAAGAACAACCAAGATGATTAGGGGAGTGGGGGATAAAACATATGAAGAACGGTTGCTGGAATTGGGTATATCTAGTCTGGTGAAGAGAAGGACTAAGGGTGACATGACAGCAGTCTTCCAGTATTTGAGGGGCTTTTATAGAGAAGAAGGAACCTATTCTCCAAAGCACCAGATGGCAAGACAAGAAGCAACGGGTGGAAACTAATCAAGGAGAGAAGCAACCTAAACTTAAGGAGAAATTTCCTGACAGTTAGGACAATAAATCAGTGGAACAACTTGCCTCCAGACACTGTGAATGCTACAACACTGGAAGTTTTTAAGAAGAGATTGGACAACGATTTGTCTGAAATGGTATAGGGTTTCCTGCCTCTTCCATCTCTGTTATTCTAACTAAATGAACTGTTGTAACTCAAGGACTACCTGTACATTGTACAAAATTTCATTTTAATGTATGCCAATTAGTGTACATTTAAAGTGACAAGAAAATTATTCTAAGTCATTGTAGATTAAAATTGCAATTCCTGTTCATAAGTAGTTGCAACTGCCAAAGTGAAAATTTTGCAGTCCAATCCCAGCAAAGTCTAACTCCTTGTGTTTTCTGTAACTCTGCTAAATGTCACTGATTCAACCATTAGATCTCTGCTCTATTTCTTACAAAATAAGCCCTTTCCAAAATTTATCCTCTTCCCTATACAGTTACATCCCTATCTGAAGTTCCTCAGGATGCTGCAGAGGAAAATAACGGAGATCTACAAAGCATCTCCTTCAAAGCGCTTGGAGAAAAAAGTCACCTGAGATGGCCTGGCCTCCTCAGGAACGCGAAGAAAGAGAAAGACTCAATTTGCTGCAGAGAAGAGCAGTTCTTTTTCTCTTTGTCAGCATTCCCTTCTCTTTGTCAGCTAGAAAAGCCCAGAGTCAATCTAGGTCATACTGCAGAATCAATACGTGGCATTTCTGTGGCTCACCCACTTTCTTAAAGAAGCTGCAGAGATGCCAGGAAGACACATTGAAATAATCGTAGA